CTCTCTCTCTCTCTCTCTCTCTCTCTCTCTCTCGTAACTCATTTACTTCAATATATTCGTTAATTTATTGAATTAGTGAATCAAAAATGGAATTAATTTTTAAAACAATTTTATAGTTTAAGCTTTGAGTTTGTTTTAAAAGTTACAAAACATTTTATATAAAATTACATTTCTCACAGAATGTATACTTGTAGTGTATAAAAATATTTTGCTTTATCTAAATTGAAAAATATAAACTATATTAAGATAATAATAATTTGTAATCAGTGTATTGTTTTAATAATGAGGTTATAAATTATTATAACTAACAAACAGTTTATAGCAGCTAGCAGCTTTTGAGCTAACAAAACTTAATAGTAATAACCGGAGTAATTTATGATTACTCTATAATCAATGAATTATAATAAACACTGAATTTGTGTCCAAATGGTTGGTCACCTCCAGAACCGAAGAGCCAAATGGCGAAAAGCCGAACGACTGCGCAAAGAAAGGGAGGACAAGACAAACACCAAATCCAGTGACAGCTCATCACTAAGTAATATAAATGTGGAGACGGCCGGCAATAATGAGCTCATTATAACTCCCGGCTCATCGCCTGAGCCCAAAGCCAACGGCGACCTCAGCTGCAATTCATCAGTGGGCTCGCCATCCAATGACACACTGATGACCAAACCAAAGCTCATGGACAGGCAGTCGACACCGGAGTCTCAGCTCAATATGCAAATCGTTCAAAAGTCGCTCAACAACTGCCACCCGTTGTTCAGTCCGGCGCTCATCACTTCCCAGTCGGCTTCGGTCGCCAATCGCGGCTCCATCGGTGATCTCGGCTCAGGTGGTATCGGCTCCGGTATCTCGTCATCACTGCGGTCGCCCCCACTCTCATTGCACGGACAGCCATCTTTCATGGAGTCGTCAGCTCTACTCAAAGAGCTAACGGCTAACCATCCGTTTGGGCCGTCATTTCCGCTGCGAAACTCATTTCTGTCCGCATTTACCACTTCCGACAGGTATTAGAGTTTCACAAAAGATTTTATATATAAAATAAATATTAGTTTTTTGACGTCATTTAGGATTTTATAGTTTTCAAATGTACTTAAAGTGTGAATTTGTTTGTCGTATAGTGTGCTGAACGCGGCGGCGGCGGCGGCTGCCAACTCATCGGGCAGGTTCTCGAGTCTACAGCCCCTGTTTGTGCCTGCTCATATGGCACACCAGTTCGCAGCAGCCTCCTCTTCATTCCCATTCAAAGGTTACTTACCGTTAGAGTCATTCAAATGATATCTAAAACTCATATTTAAAAGGCTGTGTTCAATAGCTCTGTGCGCCTGTTGTTTACCCAACAGTCGGCCCGTCTCTCCTCTACCGCCGACCTCCTCCTCCTCCATGAGCTCCACCACCACTACCTCAGCGGCGGCTAACATGCCGTCTCTCGTGAGCCATTCAGCCGCCAATTTGAGTACTTCTTCGAGCACTTCCAGTGTCAATGAGTTGAGACGTAAAGCCAAAGAGCATTGCGAGTCTGTGTTGGCTCAGGCGTCGGCGCCCGCATACAAGCCCTCAACCCTCTCGTCAACCGTTTCTTAATTGCTTTCGTAAATAGTATTGATATTTATGAACCATTTATGAAGTCTTTAGTCATTTTGTATTTCTTTCCATCATTTTTGTTGTATTCATCATCAAAAGTAATGTTATATTAGATGATTATTGCTGTCAAATACTCGCCCCAAATGTTTGCCAATAAATTATATGAATTATTCATTAAACTATTAGTAAATCTTATTTTAATTGAAATTTATATTTAATTAAATTTAACCAAAAAAGTCATGTTTTATGTATAGACTCTATACTATAGAGGACTTTGATATTCAATTAGTCTTTTCATTTATTCTTCAAATGAGTTCTTATTTGAAATATTAAATAAAGAAATCTTCAGAATTGGCTTATAGTGTATGAAATGGTGTAGAATTGAGTTCTTTCTATATTAGGTTATTGCCAGAGATTAAAGAGATAATTGGTTTTTAAGTAAATTATTTGAAAGTAGATTTGAAATCAGAGAATATATTCTTGCGTTTCGTGTGTCGACACATACAGGGAATACAAAAGCGCTGAAAAACAGTGTAAAAGCGATTGTAGGCTTTCATTGACGACATACTACACTGTTATAAACATGTAACACATGTTTGGTGTCTATAATATAGACATATATTATACTGTATTTTATGTGTAGATTCTGTGAATAGATTCATATTCTGTAATATAATTTTCTGGTAGGAGTGCGCCGATAGGGATAGTGTCGTGAAATTTGAGAAAATAATAAGTTTTATTAACAAAATTTTCTGTAAATGTAATGACAATACATGTTAGCAAAAAAGGATTCATTAAATTAGGAATTCCTAATGAAATGATTGGAAGGGAACGCCATGTGCAACACCGGCGGCTTACCCCACAATCTATACGGTATATGCGATTAGTTGTATCGCCAAATGAAATGCAAATAAAATTATTCATCCAATTATAAAACAAATTACTGTTTAATTTTTGCTCTCATATTGTAATAGGAAAGCAATTATTTTTGAAATGTATTTTCGTTTTGAATTAATTAATTATAATATTATTTATTTAATTATGAGTTGTGTCTAATAGATAATAGATCGCCATTGCATTCAAATGTAACTATTATATGTAGGAATTTCTAAATCAATTTATGGGTTTATTTTTAGTTAGCATTAATTCTTAGTTAAATTTATTTGTAAAAATAAAATTTTCAATTATATTCACTTTGTGTATGTGCGAACAAAATTAATTTGTTTTTACATTTCATTTGTAATTAGTATAACATCAAGAATATTCGTGAATTACACAAAAGTTTGTAATCTTTTTGTCGGAAACTGATTATCAGATATTAATATTTATAGACTTTTATATAACACGTAAACATAGAGTGAGTACAAAGTAAATGGCATTGAATTATATAGTAAAGTGTGGGTACTTGTCGTGAATGTGATGGCAATTACTGGACGAATATATCAGCGATTGATTGTTTGTAATTCTGGCAAATCCTATACATTATGTGTTTATAACATTTTATTTCATTTTCAACATAACATAGGAAACGGTATTAAGTTATTGATGCCATTCCAGCCTATTGTGCACTACAATTGTTAGGGCACCGACACATCGCACTGGCAGTTCACTCAATAAAGCCAATACTCCGCCGCACATCGACACAGACAGACATACAATGGTATAGAGCACTGGTAGCTTCTACTAGACATAAGGGTTATGCGGTTCTGTAGTATTGGCTAAATTGAATCAACAATACAATCATCGTTTTGCACTACTCTTATGCCTCTCAACACAACAAAATTTGTACACAAATTGCCTACCATTCCCTTCTTGTGCTGCTTTTTGATTTCATTCATTCGGCATTGTCTTCCCGAAACACACATCCCTTCCCCCTCTCCACTCTCACCAGTCTATCAGTCGCTCCCCTAATGCTTAATAAGTCAGAAAAATGTCATAAAAAAAAGCTCAGCCCATGAAACAGCTCTCAATCATACACTTCCCTCAACTCATCGATTGATATATACTTTACTTAAAGTAATTATTCAATAGTTTTTTCTTGTGAACACACATTATGTGTGCACTCAATGTCTTAACCATAAGAATACAATTCCCTTTCACTCTCTATAGTAGTGAGTGGTTCACAAAAATAGCTCTAATTTATAATGAATTAGATTTTGTTGGAAAATACAACTATTTTTTGTTGGTGTGAAAAATAAGTGATTGAATTAAAGTGTTGGAAAGAAATGGCATTAAATATCAAATAGGAATAAGAGAGTGAATGAGAGAGAGAGAGAGAGAGAGAGAGCGAGAGAGAGAGAGAGAGAGAGCACAATGAAAGTGATACATAGGGTTTGCGGAGCAGAGAATTGGATGTAAAGAATTGAGATCTGATTACAAAATATATTTTCATTCTTTAAACTCCTTCTTTGATTTCATATATAAACTAATTTCAAAATAAAAACTTGATTTCATTGGTTTAGAAGATTTTGTTTGCTCTCACTTTTTGAATAAGAATTTCTTTTGGTATCGATTTTTGTTTGCAGAGCTCTGTCTCTGAGCTCTATCTCTCTCTCTCTCTCTCTCTCTATCTCTCTCTATCTCTCTCTATCTATCTCTCTCTATCTCTCTCTATCTCTCACTCGTAGTGTTTGTGTGACTTTATGTGTGAATTCAAACACAAGAATTAATAGTCGTCTGAGAATTGAATTCATAGTGAATCCAAACGCAAACGAAATTTTTGTTATCGTTTCCTGTCTTATGGATGCGTCCAATGAAAACCAAATACAAGTAAAATACTTTTTCGTCGCTTTTTTCGCAAAAATATGATTAGCACTCAATTTGTTGTATAGATTTGTTTGACTCTCGAAAATAATGACATAATTATGTTATCCTATATTTAATTCATCACATCATCCGTTAGTTGCGAGAGAGAGAGAGAGAGAGAGAGAGAGAGAGAGAGAGAGAGTACTTAAACTTATGTTTTCTTAAATTGTTTAACAAAATTTCATTCAAATTTAGTGTCAATTAAGTGCGGATTCCGGGCGTAAAAAATCGAAAATCAAATTTTACTCGTTTTTTGATTGACTTTATTGAATGTTCTCTGGAATAAGAAATCGATTTGATTTGTTTTTTTCGGTCACTACTTCTCCACATAAATATTTCACTCGAAAATTGATTTTGTGAACGATTTTCATATTAAGACCATACCTTATGTGTGTGTTTTTAGGACAAATTCTGTCGCAAGAATTAGATTTACTTTTATTTATATAAAAAATTTCAAATCAGATTCACAGAATTGACTTTAATTTTTAAATGTTTCTCCAAATTTATTGCACAACACATTCGTGGAAAATGTCTAAAAATATAAATATATTTGTCGTATTCATGGATCGATTGTATAAATTAAATGATAGTTTTATTTGCAATTTGTGTTTCGCAACCACTCTATGAGTTAAGTGGATAGAAAAATAGTGTTATTTTCATATTTGAGCACAAATTACATTTAATATCCTATTCTCCTACTATCTCTCTCTCTCTCTCTCTCTCTCTCTCTCTCGATCTCCTTATTTATATGTATTTGAATATAAGAGTAAATCAATTGATTCATAGAGTTATCTCTTTGGTTATACTCTGAAAGACAACAACAATAGAGAGAGAAAAGCAAACCATGGGTTGAATGAAGTGAATGGACTGAATGTTGAATGCAATACAAGACTAACGATAAGCATTTGAATGCATTGTGAATGTAGTGATGAAGAAATATAGGAGAAACATAACATAAGGCCTAAAAGTAGTACATATCATCCAGTAACATAGTATGTAGTGGCTGTATATCTAAGACAATCCCCAAAGGCTTGTTGCCAGTGATCTGATCACGAAAATTGAAGCACACATTCCGTCCAAAATCAGGTGATATAGAAAATAGACGAGTAATTGGTTCATACATTAAATTGTATCACAAACTTAACTTAATTGATAAGACTTTGCTATCAAAAGACTTGAATTCGCCATCAAAAAGAATATTCTTATTTTGTATATACAGTGAGTCCAATGTCTCTTATGTTTGAGTATTAAAGTCTATAATATATTATTAATATATAGTAATAATTGCAACACAATTATTGGGCATTCAATTAATGAATTTGTTTTGATGTCTCCTATGATTCAGATAAATAAGGGGAGAGAGAGAGAGAGAGAGAGAGAGAGCATGACTTTTGATTCGTATATATTGTTCAGAGTAATTCATTAATTACTATTAACTTATATAATGTACTTTCTTAATGAAGTGCTGAAAAATTAATAAAGGAGAGAGAGAGAGAGAGAGAGAGAGAGAGCATGACTTTTGATTCGTATATATTGTTCAGAGTAATTCATTAATTACTATTAACTTATATAATGTACTTTCTTAATGAAGTGCTGAAAAATTAATTAGAATTAATATTAGCCTTATTTCTAGAAAAACACATTAACTGACAAACTATTTATTATATAATTATAATTGAGAGCACAAACAGTCTTCCTATTGTGTAGTGCCTTATGAGATGAGATTTATTGTATAATTGCGATAATTGCGAGTCAATAGACATAATAATTACAGTTATATTCAAGTAATAGGAGAGCAAACATACAGTAGGAATGACAGACTCATTGGCAAAAGCGCCAAAAGTCTGTCATATAAACTGATTTCATAGCAAAACTAATTGTTTATTAAATACAATTAGCCATCAAATGAAGTGAAACCCTATTTTCTATATCATCTCTCTCTCTCTCTCTCTCTCTCTCTCTCTCGCACTCGTCGTCTAAATACTAACGACACTAATGAGGCATTTGTCGGAAAAGACGTGACTTTCGACCAAAAAATTGTCCGAAATTTTTATATAAATAATAGAATAGAGAAAAGAGTGACAATAGTGTTGCCGTATATTCCGTACGATTCAATACAATAACAGTTTTTTTGGGACCAATTCTGTGCCTCATTTCGTAGCAAAACATAACACAAGCAGTCATTCAAATGCATTACATCTCAATATATTCATAACAATCGGTGATTAGATATCGATA